AAGGTGGAGGTTAAACACAAGAATACTAAATCATAAAGAGATAGTAGATAAAGTGCAAGCAGAATGGCAAGAAATATGGGGCTTCAACGAAAAGGGGGTGACAAAAGGAGTTCTATGGGACACTATGAAAGCAGTGACCAGAGGGTTATGTATAAAAGAGACAATTAATTTAAAGAGAAGGCAAGAAGAAAGGAAAAGGAATTTAGAAAGAGAAATAGAAGAGATTGAAAAAGCATATGTAATAAAGAGAGATACACGAATTTATGCTAGGTTAAGAGCAAAAAAAGAGGAATTGGATAAAATGGAAATAGATGAAGTACAAGAAAACTTAATTTATTTAAGGAGGGAATATTTTGAGTTTAGTGATAGGAATTCAAAGATCCTAGCTAAATCAACACAGAAAAAGAAAATGGAAGGAACGATAAATACGATAAAAGATAAAACAGGTAAATTATGTAGAGCTATGAAAGAAAAATTGAAAGTATTTGAAGAGTTTTATAAAAAACCTATATCAAACTAAAGCAAGTCCCATAGAGGCAATTAGGAAATATGTGGAAGAAAATTGGGAGAGTAAGCTGGAGGAGAAAGATAAAGAGTTATTGGAACAACCTATTAAGAAAAAAGAAATAGAGGAAGTCATTAATAAATTAAAAGTAGGAAAAGCCCCAGGCTTGGATGGTTTAGGGACGGAATACTATAAAAGCTTTAGAGAAGTTTTAACCCCAAAATTATTGGAATTATATAACGGAATAATGAAGGGAGATAAAATACCCGACTCATGGAGGAGATCATTAATAATATTAATACCCAAACCTGATAAAGACTTAACAGACCCAGGGTCATATAGACCCATATCATTAATAAACCAAGACGCAAAGATATTATCCGCGATATTAGCTAATAGAATGAATAAATGTATGTATAAGTATATAAAAGAAGACCAGTGTGGGTTTATAAAAGGAAGACAAATGTCAAATTTGATAGGGAGAGTACTAAATAAAATTCATTGGGCTAAAGAGGGGAAAAAGCAGGGATATTATCATTAGATATTTGTAAAGCGTTTGATTGTGTGGAATGGGAGACATTAAGGGAAATATTGAATAAATTCGGAATGGGAAATAGAATAAAAGGAGTATTAAAACAATTTTATTCAAGGAACTCGGCAGTGGTAACTATAAATGATGGAGTGACAAATGAAATACAAGTGACTAGAGGAACTAGACAAGGGTGCCCTTTGTCCCCGATATTATTTGCTATGGTGATAGAACTTTTTGCTAATAATATAAGGAATGATAAAAACTTAGAGGGATTAGGAAAAAAGGAGAAACAGAAGGTGAGCTTATTTGCTGACGATACATTGTTATTTATAGAAAATATAGTGGAGAAAATGGATAGAATAAAAGAACATTTGAAGATATTGGGGAAAGCAACGGGTTTACAAGTTAATTGGAACAAGTCAGAAATGATGCTACTCAATTATACAAGAGAAGAAGAAAAAAAAAATCATAGAACAAAGAAAAACGGGAATAAGAATTAAGAATAAATTAAAATATTTGGGAGTAATAATAACTAAAGATTTAAAAGAGATAGAGGAAGAAAATGTAGTAACTTTAAGAAAAGAAGTTCAGAAAAAGTTAATAGAGTACGAAGGTATACATTTATCCTGGTTTGGAAGAATAGCATTAGTAAAAATGAAAATACTTCCAAAAATAAATTTTATATTTAGGATGCTACCACTTCAAATCACAGAAGAAGAACTAACTAGATGGCAACAAATGATTAATAAGTACTGTAATGGAAGTAAAAGAAATAGACTAAATAAACAGTTATGGTAAAGATCGCAAAAGGAGGGTGGACTAGCGCTACCTAATATAAAAAAATATTATGAAGCAAGTAGATTAAGTTTGGTTATAGAAGGAATGGTTAAAAAAGAGGGAATAGACTGGCTTAGTAATGATTCAGGAAAAGTGGAAGATGAAACTTGGAATATATTTTTTAAACAGTTTACTAGAAAAGAAATGAGGGAAATTAGAAACCCAATGCTGAGTAACATACTGAAAGTATGGAATAAATATAAGGGGAGGTTAATAAAGGAAGGATCAATTATAACCCCAATAGTGATGGAAAAGAAATTCCCAAATTTTTTTAAAAAAGTAATGGATAAAAAGGTAAGGGAAAAAATTTTAGATAGAATAGGGGATTGGATGAAAGTGGAAATGAAGAGGGAAAGGATGTTGGAAGAGTTTAAAGAAATAAAATTATCATGGTTTCACTGTATACAATTAGAACAATGGTTAATAAATTGGAAAAAGAATAACAGAAATGGAGGCCAACTTAATCAATTCGAACAAATAATACAGAAGGGAAGGGCGGTAGAAGAACATGAAAACTTGAGAGGCATAATTAGCAAAATCTATAAGATACTAATTGAAATGAGGGATGGAAAAATAAAAAGTGTACCCTTAAGGAGATTTGGGAAGAGGATTTAGGGATAAAAATAAGTGAAACAGAGTGGCAACAGTTATGGGGACAAAGACATTTAAAAAATTTATCGATACGAGTTAAAGAAAATTATTATAAGTTAATATGGAAGTGGTACTTGACACCGGTAAGAATAGCATATATGAATAAAAATAATTCAATAAATTGTTGGAGAGGGTGTCAAGAACCAGGAACATATATACATATGTGGTGGCAATGTAAATATGTAAATAATTTTTGGGAGAAAGTATTTAGAGAAATAGAAATTATAATGAATATGAAAATAGATAAAAGCCCTAGTATAGCCTTACTATCATTATATACCAATAAGCAATTGAAAAAGGAGGATAAAGAAGCAATAACAAATTTACTAACTATAGCAAGACTGCTCATAGCAAGGAATTGGAAAAAAGAAATGAATATACAAATTGAGGAGTGGTATAAGGAAGCATGGAAATTAGCTTTAAACGATAAACTGACATGTATATTAAAGGTTAAAAAAGGTATATGGAAACAAAGTGATTTTGATGCTATATGGGGGAAATTTGTGATAAATGGATTAAAAAATAAGGAAGGAAAATTACCGTCACAAGAAGAAATGAAATTTTGGACTGATGAAATGTAAGAAATGTGGCTTGAAACGGGTGGAGGGGAGCACGGAGGTGGGGAAAAAAAAAAAAAAAAAGGGGAGGAATGTCAAAGCAAAACAACAAAATAACATGTTAAAGAGGTTGATGTAGAAAATGCAATAGTATGTAATAATTGTGATAAACTAATAAAAATTTATTAAAGAAAAAGAAATGGTTTGAGACTTTGGAGTGGCATGCGAGGAGGCCAATGAATAATCAGAATCATGATCTGATGAAGCAGCTGTTGCTACCGGTGGTGGTACCGAGGCTGCTGCAGCAGGTAGAGGCTAATGCCAACGCTTAGATACTTGGCGCTCATGAGATGGTTCACATGGAGGGCCAAAATAATACACTCTGCCAGCAGGAGAATAATGGATGTATTCAGAAGGTAACGGCTGGATGCGCTTATAAGCATGATGAGATTGATCATGCACAGGCAGAACCACCTGATGATGAGATCGTGGTGGAGTGTTATATTCATATGAAGGTAAGTACACAGATGGGCTCTGGGAATAAGGAGAACAGGAAAATGCTCCAAAAAAGCCTGACCTGGAACCCAGCCGGGGCCCTGATGGAAGGGCTGATGGAGGAGGAGAATGGTCCTGTCGCTCCTCCTGGGGCTGTGGAGGCAAAACTCCCACAGAGGCAGGCTCCACACTGTTGGCCCCATGCTCCTCCACCGCTACCCTCGAGGAGGGCAGGGCAGGGCCAGGGAGCATTGGCGCATGGGGGGCTGTATCCTCCAAGGGGAGCAAGGCCACCCCAGTGCGCGTGAGCTGCACAGCTCTCCGGAGTGCGCGTGCTGGCTCAGCATAAGTAGAACTTCTGGTGCAGGCTGCACTTCTGGCGCAGGGCCTTAGCTCCACCCATGCTCTTCTGCCCACGGAGCCAGGACGCCAATGGCAGCTTCAGGAGCCGTCGCCCTCTTCCGCTTCTCTTTGGAAGCCTTGCCAGGCGAGGCTCCAGGTGGAGACTTTGAGCAGCGCCATTTCGGCATTGCCAAGGAAGCAGAGTGAGCCGGAGGCGTAGTGGAGGAAAGCACAGCTGGCGGCGGCAGCTCCAAAGCCGCTCGGCGTGGGGAGGCGGCGGGGAGGAGCATCTCATAAAGTAAGTCCTTTAAACGTCCCTGCCGGCTTCTCCTAGTTTGGGGAATTAGTTTGGCAAACAACATAAGTTTGAACATTATGAGACTCCCCCAAACATATAAGGCACAGAGTGTGCTCGTCAGAAGCAGGAAACTTCCCCCCACAAGCAGTGCACTTCTATGAACTGAGAATGGTCAAATACAGTCCAGGTCGAGGCAGGCAGCAAACAAGAGTAGTCAAAACAGTCCAAAGTCAAAGTCCAAAAATCCAAGTTGAGATAAATCCAAAGAGTAGTCAAACAAACTGAGTCAAAACCAGAATAAGTGAATGGAATAGAGAGAGGGTTCCTAACGCTGCTGCTTGCGCACGCGGAAAAAAGAACTGGTGCTACTGCCCCAACTGTGTCCTATATGTACTATGGGGAGGACGGGTGGGGCCATAGCCTTAAAGGTATAGAGAGCTTGTTATAGGGTTCGAGCTGCTACGCATGTGCGAGAATTGCTACCGTATGTGCGATTTCACAGAGACCACGAAGTAGAAGGATATCTTCAGATGAATTCCTACCTTCTTATAGTGGAAATGCCGCATGGCCACCTCATGCATGAGACACATTATTCACATTATATATGCATGTCAAGTTACTAGTTCATAGCTTTAAAAAATATCAGAACTTAAACACAAGAGATTTCCTTCTACCCTGTGTCTGCTTCAACATGTTTCATGTTTTTAATGACAACTCTTGCTTCTTCCCCACCAGCTTATCAGGTGGCATATTTACCATGAAAAGATCCTTTACTGAACATACCCAAGTTAGGTGCACTTGCAGTCCGCTTGTTACTTTTGATCTTGAAAAAGCCTCGCCCAAATGAAGACCGGGCTTTACGGGTTCCAAAGGCATCTTCTTCTCCAGAGGATTTGGAAGGGAGGGTCCCGTATTTGCTACAATCGGTGGGCATTTTGCTCTGATTCATTGGGAAAAGAGAAGTTTTAAACATCACTCTGCAATACTGTGGCCTTAGTGTATGGAGCTTTAGTGAAAATCAAGTGAGAAAATCCAACAGAGGTGTTCGCATGCTGTACTGGAAAATGAATTGAATGAATGAAAATACCATTTTAAAACTATTTTGAAAAGCTTTGAGAAAGAAATTGTTTTAGAAGGAAATGACAACCCATACCTTGCAACGTTTTCTAAAGATGTGCTAAATTGCTTTTAAAAGGTTTCTCGTAAAGTGTGAACATAAAGAAAGAGTCAAATGTACATTCCAAAATTATCACTAAAATCTTGAAGAAAATGTACTAAATGCCATGGAATTTTAGCATATGATTTTAACCAAGCTGTCATGGAAGCATGACAAGTTTTTAACCATGCTGTCATGCTGCCTCCCCGGGGCAAAAATACACCATGTCACTCAGAGGCTCACCAAGTTCCTCAAGCCCCATCACACCCCCTCATGTTGATTCATGTAAGAACCAATGATACTGCTAGGCATACTTTTCAAAAGATCATAAATGGTTTTCGAGCTCTTGGAACAAAGCTAAAACAGTGTAATGTACAGGTGGTCTTTTCATCCCTCCTCTCAGTTATAAGATATGGCCCTTACAAGGACCAGAAAAATAATACAGGTCAATAACTGGCTTAGAAAATGGTGTCAGGAGGAATGCTTTGGCTTCCTCGACCATGGCCTGCTTTTCAAGGAGGATGGCAAGGGATGGAGTGCATCTCACACAAGTAGGATAACACCTTTTTGCTCACAGACTCACAAACCTCATTAAGCACACTGGGGGAGAGGGACAACAGCCTTGCGAACAGAACTTTACCCACAATGTCAGGGAACCGTCAATGGGCTAAATGGAGGGTTGCACAAACACAACAAGGACCAAGTACTGAAAGCACAATCTATATAAATAAAAATGTAATGTTCATTTCTGGGATTAACATAACTCAAAAACCACTGGACAAATGGACACCAAATTTGGCAGCAAAACACATACTAATCCAATGTATGTCTTTCAAACAAAAAAACCCTTTAAAAATGAAGGAGAAATAAATTAAAACTCCCCAAAAAGAAAAATACCTTACAGAGCATGCGCAAAAGCTTGCGAGAAGAATAATGCACCAACCATTGTGAGAGAAGAGAAACCTAGCTATGGAGTCCCTTTCCATGCAGGAAGGCAGAGTCCTCTTTCTTTTGAGGAGGGGAGGGATTGAAGAAAGGAAAGATGGAAGGAAGGAGAAGGCCTGGCCCGACGGAGGGCATTGAGGCTTGGCGAGGCAAGCCCCGGCAGCAGCTGGAGTCACCACAGTGGCTCCATGAGGCCCAAGTGGTCACCAGGCAACCCTTCCCCCAAGACCGGAGGATTGCAAGACAAGCCTGGCTGCATGAGCGGCTGCCCACTGCCCTCCCCCTCACCCATTGGGTGAAGGGAGGATGCAAACTCCCCCACTTGCGCTCCACATCCCCCCCGTTCACAACCCCCAAAACTGCTTTAAAAACCCTTACAAACTGCCCTGGAAGGAAGGGAGGAAGGAAGGGAAAGAAAGGGAAGGGAGAGAAGAAAGGAAGAAAAGAATTGGTAAAGAGAAGAGATGAATATGAATGGAAGGAAAGGTAGAAGCAAAGAAAGAGGAAGGAAAGAAGGAAGGAAAGAAAAGAAGGGAGAGACTAGTGAAGGGAAGAGAAGAATATAATGGCAAGGAAAAGGAGGAGGAAAGAAGGATGAAAGAAAGAAAGAAAAACAAGGGAAAGGAGAGAAGAAAGGAAGAAAAGGATTGGTGAAGAGAAGAATATGAATGAAAGGAAAAGAAGGAAAACAAGAGGAAGGAAGGGAAGGAGGCAGGGATGGGAGAGGAAAGGAATGGAAGAAGAAGGGAAGGAACAAAGAAAGAAAGGGGGAAACTGGCCATGGCAAGAGAAGAATATAGAATCAGAGAGTCCTAGAGTTCGGAGAGACCTGGTGGACCATCCAGGCCAACCCCATTCTGTCAAGAAGCAGGAAAAACACATCCGAAGCACCCCCGACAGAAGGCCACCCAGCCAAATAAATAGCTCTGGGGAAGATCTCAGGGGCTCACACTTATAATGTCACTGAAACCTGGTGGGATGACTCCTTAACACTTGAATTTAGATATTGAGGGCTATAACCTCTTTCACAGATCAAATAAAAGAACGCATGACGAAGTGGGCAGAAAACATCGGACATGCCATTAGAAACTCAGATTGGGAAAAGATTTGGAATACTAAAATAAAATGAATCAATTCCTATGATTTATGTGAAAATTGGACTAAGATGATGTACTGATGGTACATCACACCAAGCAAACTGGTGAAATGTTATAAAAATCTCTCTGATAAATGTTGAAAATGTCAAACTAATACAGGAACCTTTTTGCACCTATGTGACATGTGAGAAAGTTAAAACAAATTGGAAGAAGATCCATGATACAACACAATCAATCTTAGGCCTAAAAATGGACCAGAGTTTTATCTTCTAGGGATGCTAGATTTCAAAATAGATAAAAATAAGGACATCCTACTTTTTCATATGGCTACTGTGGCAAGACTAGTATACATGAAAAAATGGAAGTCTAAAGATTCTCCAACAACAGAGGAGTGGATACTCAGGATACTTGATATAATCAATATGGACAGATTAACACAATACCTAAGAAATCAACAGAAGTTAAGGACAGACAGGTCCTTAATCAGAAGTTTCCTCAATGCCCGCCAACCACAAAACTCTGTAGAGGAACACTAGACACAGGAGGAGGAAGAAGAGCTAATAGGATACGGAGGAGGGGAAACTTAACTTGCATCTCAACTCTTTTTCTCCATTTTCTATTCTTTTCTTTTTCCTCTCCCTTTTTTTGTCTAGGATACTTTTGATTTTATGAAAAGTAAATGCTATTTTCACCACTGATGTACCCCCTTTCACAATCCCAATAAAATTATTCAAAAAAAAAAAAATCAAGGGAAACAGGAGTAAATAAGATCTTAATGTGGGTGTCTACTACAGACCTCCAAGCCAGGATGAAAAACTCGATGCAACTTTCTGTCAACAGTTGACCAAACAGGCACAAAGAAGAGATATAGTAGTCATGGGCAATTTCAACTATCCTGATATTTGCTGGTGGAAAAAACTTGGCCAAGAGTACGAAGTCCAACAAATTCCTCACCTTGCAGACAATTTTATGGTCCAGAAGGTAAAGGAGGCAACAAGGAGATTGGTTACTCTCGATCTCATCCTAACAAACGTGGAGGCCCGATCAATGCAGTTGAAGTGGTCGGATCCTTAGGGGCAAATGACCATGTGCTCCTGCAGTTTGCGATACAAAGGAAGGCTGAAACTAAGACAAGTCAAACCTGCATTCTGGACTTTAGCAAAAAATGAAGCAAATACTGAGCGGCATTCCATGGACACTGGTACTAAAAGACAAGGGAGTTCAGGATGGATGGGAGTTTTTCAAGACTGAAATTCTCAAGGCGCAACTGCAAACAGTGCCAACAAAGAGAAAAAATAAGACAAGTGCAAAGAAGCCAGAATGAACGTTCAAAGAACTTCTCACTGGGCTAAGACTCAAAAGAGACATGCACAAAAAGTGGAAAAGGGGAAAAATTACCAAAGAAGAATTCAAACAAATAACCAACTCGTGTAGGGAAAACATTCCCAAGGCTAAAGCGCAAAATGTACTCAGGCTTCCCAGAGACATTGAAAACAATTTAAAAAGGGCTTCTTTGCCTACATCAGTAGAAAAAGAAAAAACAAGGAGGCGATAGGGTCTCTGCAAGGAGAGGATGGGGATAGGGAAAAGGCAGACTATTTGATGCCTTCTTTGCCTCAGTCTTCTCACAAAAAGAAAGTCATCTTCAACCTCAGCAAGATGGATTGGACAAGGGATTAGGGGAAATCCAACCCCAAATTGGGAAACAAGTTGTCCAGGAATGCCTGGCCGCTCTAAACGAATTCAAGTCCAGGACCAGATCAAATACACCCAAGAGTATTGAAGGAACTAGTGGAAGTCATTTGAAAACTACTGGCAACCATCTTTGAGAATTCTTGGAGAACAGGAGAAGTCCCAGCATATTGGAGGAGGGCAAACATGGAAAGAAGTGATGAATGGAGTGCCACAGGGTTCTGTCCTGTGCCCAGTCTTGTTCAAAATCTTTATTAATTTCTTAGATGAAGGGTTAGAAGGCATGATCATCAAGTTTGCAGATGACACCAAATTGGGAGGGATAGCCAATACCCCAGAAGACAGGAGCAGAATTCAAAATTATCTGAACAGATTAGAGAGATGGGCCAAAACTAACAAAATGAAGTTCAAAGTGACAAATGCAAGATATTCCACTTAGGTAGAAAAAATGAAACGCAAAGATACAGAATGGAGGATGCCTGGCTCAAGAGATGTACATGTGAAAAAGATCTTGGAGTCCTCCTGGACAGCAAGTTAAACATGAGCCAACAATGTCATGTGGCGGCAAAAAAAGCCAATAGGATTTTGGCCTGCATAAATAGGAGTCTAGTGTCCAGATCCAGGGAAGTCATGCTACTCCTCTATTCTGCCTTTGATAGACCACACCTGGAATATTGTGTCCAATTCTGGACACCACAATTGAAGAGAGATGTTGACAAGCTGGAATGCGTCCAGAGGAGGGCAACTAAAATGATCAAGGGTCTGGAGAACAAGCTCTATGAGGACGGCTTAAAGAGCTGGACATGTTTAGCCTTCAGAAGAAAAGGCTGAGGGGAGACATGATGGCCATGTATAAATATGTGAGGGGGAGTCATAGGGAGAAAGATTGTTTTCTGCTGCCCTGAAGACTAGGATGAGGAACAGTGGCAAACTACAGGAAAGAAGATTCCACCTGAACATAAGGAAGAACTTCCTGACTGTGAGACCTGTTCAGCAGTGGAACTCTCTGCCCCAGAGTGTGATGGAGGCTCCTTCTTTAGAAGCTTTTAAGCAGAGCCTGGATGGCCATCTGACAGGGTGCTTTGAATGTGATTTTCCTGCTACTTGGCAGGGGGTTGGACTGGATGGCCCACGAGGTCTTTTCCAATTCAATAATTCTATGAAGTATAATCTCCACGAAGGGACTCAGATGGCTGACACAAAGCACAAAGTGTCTAAAAGAAAACATTACACAAAACACAATATAAAATACAATTGAATAAAGCATATGAACATGTAAAAACAACATAAAACAGAATAAAAGAGCACACCTCTGTCAGTGGCGATAGCTAATGTAAACATGGTCAGGCCGGGGAATGTGGAAAGTAGACATCTATAACCATGGGAAGAGGGCATGGGATAAAGTGCAAGGAATCATAACAAAATCATAGATCAACTTGGGACTGGACATTCTCAAAAGGTTGTTTGAATAGCCAAGTATTCAGGCCCCTATGGAAGGAGGACAGTGTGGGGGCTTGTCTAATCTCCCTGAGAAGGCCCTATCCCCCCAGCTCCACCGACCAAGCATGAGATGGCAGCAGGACTGCAAGTATGCATTTTAGGTTAATACAAGGGCACTAATGCATCTCACTGTTTTTAGAATTTGTGGTTGTGTTCAGACAATTATCTGGGGCTTCATAACTAAAAGTTTATGAAAGCTCCCACAACTTTCTAAATATAATCATGATGTTTCAGATTAATGCTTTATGAGACATGGCTGTGAACTCTTGTCCCATAGAATCAGAGAGTTGGAAGAGACCTCATGGGCTATCCAGTCCAACCTCCCGCCAAGAAGCAGGAAAACTGCATTCAAAGCACCCGCAACAGATGGCATCCAGCCTCTGTTTAAAAGCCTCCAAAAAAGGAGCCTCCATCAGAGAGTTCCACTGCTGCATAGCTCTCACAGTTAGGAAGTTCTTCCTAATGTTCAGGTGGAATCTCTTTTCCTGTAGTTTGAAGCCATTGTTCCATGTCCTAATCTCTAGGGCAGCAGAAACCAAGCTTACTCCCTCCTCCTTCCCCTCACATGGCTATCATGTCTCCTCTCAGCCTTTTCTTCTGAAGGCTAAACATGCCCAGCTCTTTAAGCTGCCCCTAATAGGGCTTGTTCTCTAAACCCTTGATCATTTTAGTCGCCCTTTTCTGGACACATTCCAGCTTGTCAACATCTCCCTTCAATTGCGGTGCCCACAATTGAACACAGTATTCCAGGTGTGGTCGGCTAAGGCAGAATAGAGGGGTAGCATGACTTCCCTGGATCTAGACATTATGCTCCTATTTATGCAGGACAAAATCCCATAGGCTTTTTAAACTGCCGCATGACATCGTTGGCTCATGTTTAACTTGTTCACATGGACTCCCAAGATCTTTTTTCACATGTACTGCTGTCAAGCCAGACATCGTTCCCCATTCTGTATTTTGCATTTCATTTTTTCTGCCTAAGTGCAGTAACTTGCATTTGTCACTGTTAAACTTCATTTTGTTAGTTTTGGCCCATCTCTCTAATCTGTTCAGATCGTTTTGAATTCTGCTCCTGTCTTCTGGAGTATAGCTATCCCTCCCAATTTGGTGTCATCTGCAAACTTGATGATCATGCCTTCTAACCCTTCATCTAAGTCAGGGGTAGGGAACCTTTGGCCCTCCAGCTGTGGTGGACTTCAACTCCCACAATTCCTTGAGGCTCGGCATTGGGCCAAGGTAAGCCTTTGGGGCGAATGCCGAGCCTCAAGGAATTGTGGGAGTTGAAGTCCACCACAGCTGGAGGGCCAAAGGTTCCCTACCCCTGATCTAAGTAATTAATAAAGATATTGAACAGAACTGGACCCAGGATGGAACCCTGCAGGACTTCACTCGTCACTTCTTTCCAGGATGATGAAGAAACATTGGTGAGCACCCTTTGGGTCTGTTCACTGAACCAATTACAGAGCCACCTAACTGTAGTTTTGCCTAGCCCACATTTGACCAGTTTGTTTGCCAGAAAGTCATGGGGGACCTTGTTGAAGGCCTTACTAAAATCCTGATACGCTACACTCACAGCATTCCCTGCATCTACCCAGCTTGTAACTATTGAAAAAAGAGATCAGATTAGTCTGGAATTTCTTGTTTTTGATAAATCTGTGTTGACTATTAACGATGACAGCATTTTTTTCTAAGTGTTTGCAGATCACTTCCTTAATGTCCCATCACACTTTATACTGGCTTCAGTACAGAGGTACTCCATTAAGCTATTATGCCTAGTTTTCTTTGAAATGGGTAATGCTGTTTTGATCTTAGTCAATTGAAAAATAAGCTAGAATTTATGGACACTTACATTTCACTGGCTTTATTGACACTCAGATGGTCAACCTACAACTTCATTTGGAAATGGTATAGACATACAGTTCTTCAAAGGAGGAAAGAGAAACCTGAGTAGTTTGCATTTTATTATGGACTAATCTTATCTGCATTTCCAGCTCCATAAAGCAGAGCCTGATTATATTTTGGTTTGGTATTTCTCAGACTTTTGCAATGGAATCCATTGAATAAGCATAAAAATGTGCCCAATGTATGTATACATTACAGGAACACAGCAGATATATAGGAAACTGCTTGTCTAAAATGCATACTTTTTGCATGCAAGCAAGCGTATTAATTTCAAACGAGCATTAAGTATGAGCATTATAGAGAGCACAAGAGAAAGATTGATCTATCTCAAGTTACCTCCTTTTGCTTCTGTCCAGGCTCTTTGCCCTGTTAGGGGAAATACATTGGTCTGATTAGCAGCTATTAAACTGATTTCAACAAAGCTTGTTAAGGGCCAAGTTATCTCTGTCATTTAATCGTGTAAAATGTTCAGATGATTGTATAGGATAGAAAAGATCAGAAGATGATAAGCAAAAACATTAGACCATTTTATGTAACTTGCATAAAAGTGGAAGGAATTACCAAGAGATGAATACACATAAAACCTGAAGAGGTACAGTAAACTCTCCACATTCACTGGAGTTAAGGACGTAGAACCCCCACAAAAGTGGGGAAATCGCGAATATAAAAGTATGGGTTGCTTACCTATAACCATGTTTCTTCAAGTGGTCGCCTGTGAAATCCACACGTATGGGGTCTCCTGTGCCTGCAACAGGCAGTTTCGGAACTCTCTAGAAGCTCTTAAGGGATACATTTTGGCGGAAGCCCTGCCCACTCTCCCCTCGTAATATATCTATATATAGCCTGTGGGCGGGCTGCCAAGAGGACCAGGGCATGATGTCCAGCGGGGAGGATGCACAGGGATGTGTGAATTTCACAGACAACCACTCGAAGAAACATGGTTACAGGTAAGCAACCCATACTTCTGCGTGGTCCCCTGTGAATTGCACACATATGGGTGACTAGCAAGCTACTGGCCTTGGAAGGTGGGCGTCATGCCACACAGGAGTAAAGCACAGCTCTGCCAAAGGTGGTGTCCTTCCTGGATATGACATCTATAACGATCGGCACCTCAAATTATAAAGGATCGCCAATCGATCTCAATATCTATCTATCCACCAATCGCTGGTACCAATTATAAAGATCGATCACAGAACAAATGATACACCAATGCTGCCACCAATATTATAACCGGATCAACTAATGCCAAATTAAATTGTAAAGATTCACAGACTAAATATGAATACTGCAAACCAATATAATGGATCCAATCAATCCATTGACACCAATATGTAGAGCGGTCACCAATGGTTAAGGGCTAATCAAATTAGAAAGGCTTATTTACTTTGAAAGGAACTATTCTTTTGTTTAACAGGGAGAAACATAAACTGTGTAAGTTTTGGCTGTATAATGGGTGATGACTGAGAAATATTGAAACTGTTTCTTCTGCTTGGCTATGCTGCCAACTTTCTATTTTTAGTGCTGAGGGAAACCCAGTAACACTTCTTTATGTTACAATGCTGTTTGTTATGGCTTTAGAGAGGTTATATTTTTTAGCTAAGCTATTCACACACAGTCTGTGGTAGTGTGAAAACAGACTAAAAAGCTTATTAAACAGTCTTGAAAGTATTTCAGATACAAAAAACTTATCGGTTGCATTAAATAGTAGAGTGCTTGAATTCAGTTTCCGTCACAACTTCAAAACTGGGAATTTACATTTTCCCCTCAAAATAGATTCTTCCCTACAAACAGCCCAATACCTCAGGGTCTGTCTAGCAATAGTCATTCCTATAAAGTAACTATCTAGAATCTATTTCCAAGTTAGACTTCTTACTAATTCTTCACTGCTATTCCTAATCTACAGCTGCTCTCTCTTAACTATGCACTCCAACTCCCTTCTCTAACACACACAAGCCTCAGGATTTTAAAACACTACTTTTTTCCTGTCAGCTTTTCCTAAACTCCGCCCCTTTTCTCTACACCAATCCCAGCCATTCCCTGCTGTCTTATGCCAAGGACACGCCCCTCTCTCCCTGAACTACATTTAAGATGGCGTCTCCCTATTCCAAAATGGCCGCTGATGCTTCGCCTAGCCCACTTCCTATCTTCCTAAGCTTACTGGCTTCTCCAGGCCCTGCATCCTGGCTGTAAATAACGTAATGGTTCATCACAACATCCATCTTGTAGTGCAACACAAAGTTGTCAGTATCTCCCAGGTAGCCGTACGGCAGATGTCTTCTAACGGAACACCTTTCAAGAAGTCATGTGACGTAGACACAGCCCTTGTGGAGTGGGCTCTCACTGTAGAAGGTAAGTCACAGCCCGCAAGTTGGTAAGCTAGCCAGATAGTGGCAACGATCCAGGATGAGAGTTGCTGGGGTGTTATTGGAAGACCCAAGGTGTCTTACCGGTACTTCAGGAAAAGCCGTGATGACTTTCTGTAAGGACGGGTTCTATCAACGTAGAAGGCGAGTGCCCTTCTGATGTCAAGCGTGTAGAGTAGTGGATGGGTTTTGAAAAAACACTGGGAGAACAATGTCCTGTGACAAATAGAAATGTGACATTACCTTTGGCAAAAAGGAAACGTCTGTACACAGAACAGCCTTGTCCTTATGGAAACTGAGGTATAATTCATCGGCCCTCAGTGCATAGAGCTCGCTGACACGTCACTACAAACAAGGAAGGCTATCTTCTAGGACAAGTGTTGAATGAATTTTTGCCAGTGGTTCAAAGGGTGGTTTGGTTAGTTCGGACAAGACCAATTCCAGGCTCCAAGCCGGGGGTGGCAGATATGCTGGGGGATACAAGTTTTTGTTTGTGTCCTGCAGCAATTCCTAGAAGAAACATGCCGGACTAGATCCCTTCCAGTCTGGCTTCCGTGCGGGGCATGGGACAGAGACTGTGCTGGTCTCCATCACGGATCACCTTTGATGCCAGCTTGACCAGGGCGGGTTGGCGCTGCTTGTGTTATTGGATCTCACAGCAGCATTTGACACAGTCAACCACAATCTTTTGACCCACCGCCTTGCTGTTGTTGGAGTCAGGGGGACAGCTTTAAATTGGCTGTCCTCCTTTCTTCACAACTATGGACAGCGAGTGGAGAGGGGAGGCCTGGTCTCTGAGAGGTCCCCTCTATCTTGTGGGGTTCCTCAGGGGGGCATTCTCTCCCCTCTGTTGTTTAACATTTATATGCGACCACTTGCTCATCTGGTTTGAGGTTTTGGGCTTGAGTGTTACCAGTACGCTGATGACACTCAGCTTGTGCTGAAGATGGAAGGCCGACCGGACTCTGTACCTGATTATTTCCATCAGTGCCTCGAGGCCGTTATTGGATGGCTGTGTGCCAGCAGGTTGAGGGTGAATCCAGCAAAGACGTAGATCCTATGGCTGGGTCAACCCAGGCAGTGGGGATATCCAGCTGCCTACCCTGGATGGCGAGGTGCTACGCCCGTCATCATTGGTAAAGAGTCTGGGAGTCCTTTTGGACCCTCTGCTGACGATGGAGGCCCAGGTCTCCACCGTTAGTAGAACAGCCTTTTTTCATCTGCGGCAGGCTAGACGGCTGGCCCCCTACCTGTCCAGGGACGACCTAGCTACGGTGATCCAGGCTACGATCATCTCAAGACTGGATTACTGTAATGCCCTCTACAGCATCCTGCGTAAGGCCTTGATGACTACAGCCCTTAGGGCCTTGAAATGGTTGTTTGGTAATAATAATAATAATAATAATAATAATATAATAAAACTTTATTTGTATCCCGCTACCATCTCCCCAAGGAACTCGGTGCAGCCCACAATACAACAATAAAAACAATAGCAACAGTAATACAAACAATAAATAAACAGAAAATAGCAATAAACATTAACAATAACACAACGACGTTTAAAAATCTATGGCAGGGCCAAATGTACTAATTAAAATTTAAAAAAATAATGCTAGGCATGACCAGGTGACATATAACCAGGATAGAAATTTTGGAGAGTGGTAGAGCGTGCAAAGAAGGTCCTTTGTTGGGTAGAATCGATGATTGCCCCAATAAATCGGATAGATTGGGGTGGCTGCAGACAAGACTTTTCCTGGTTGACAACTAGGCCAAGGTCCCAGAGGAGAGACAGAGTCATGTCAATGTGAGATAGAAACTCCGTCTTAGAGTTTGCTAAGACAAGCCAGTCGTCAATGTAAGGATATATGATGATCCCCTTCTGACGGAAGACTGCAAAAACCGCCATGCAATTCGTAAAAATCTTTGGGGCAGTAGACAATAATAATAATAATAATACTTTATTTATATATGCCCTATCTCCCCAGGGGGACTCAGGGTGGTTTACAACAAAAGTAATAGAGTGACAAACATTCAATGTTAAAGCGAACAAACAATAAATTAACTGGAGCTGCAGCAGCCTGCTGAAGGCCGATGATGAGGCCTTCTTGGGCCCAGCTTGCTGAAGGGCGATGACGAGGCCTTCCAGGGCCTGACCTGGTGGAGGGTGATGACAAGGCTCTGCTGAGCTCAGCCTGGTGGAGGCCAATGTTGAGGCCTTCTTGGGCCCAGTCTGCCAAACACTGACTCCAATCCAGAGCACACCATGGCATTTTGGAGTCAGTGTTTGGATTTAAAAGACCAAGTTCATGTAGGGGCAGATCTTCAATCACTGCACGAGCTGGAGAAGAAAGGTCTCAAGAACGCAGCCATGCATGGCGACGGAGGGCAATGGCGATGGTGAAAAGTTTGCCCGCCGAGTCTGCGGTATGCTTCGCAAGTTCCTTTTGCAGGCCCGCCAGCTGGCATGCCTCTTGCTTAAAGGCTCACACCAGACATAACCCCTCTGTAGAGAGGTGTTCAAGATAGGGAGCTATTTTATTCCAGAGATAATTCTGATACACCCCCATGTATGCTCCATAGTGAACTAACCAAGCAAAGAGGCCCATGGCATCTAATTTCTTCCCCTCTCTATCCACTGGAGTAGACTGGGATCTCTGGGAAGGATGATTTTGGGACACATCTACAACCACTGTGGAGTGGTTGGGCTTTGGGTGTTTGCCCAACCACTCCACAGATGAGAGGTCAACAGAATAAAGACTCTCTGCTTTCCTCAATGTAGCAGGTACTGAAGAAGGTGCTAGGCCAGGGGCCTTCAGGAGTTGAAGCAGGTATGGTAGAAGTGGAAGTGCTGTGGCCATGGGGAAAAACGGGGTTATTAACTCAGGTAGAAGTCTTTGGTCTTGGGAGATTCAGGGCTTTCGCTAGACGTGTGATCAGGGAGGAGAAATTGCATAACTCCTCAGGAGAATCCCTCTCGGTGTCCTGAACAGGAGCTGGGGGGTG